ATTAATTGTCTAGAGCAGGGGTGTCAAACTCGATTTCATTGAGGGCTGCATCAGGGTTGTGTTTGACCTGGGGGGGGGGGGGGGCATGGCCAAGGTTGGGCATGGCCCACGAGTGTGTTCCTGCTGGCATTACTACCAGTTCAGTGCTTGAAAAAATTTGCTCCGCGCACTTTGCACTTAAAAAGGTCTGCGCATTTGCACATCACTTAAAAAGGGGGAAATTACATTTTTTCAATGAAGATTGTTCTGCGCAGGTGCAGAATAGAAAATAAAGATGGCAGCACCCAGGATAGAACCGGTTTGGTCATGTGTCCGGCCGAGTTACTACCTACTCAGCCGAACCGGTCCAAATTGGTAGGAACCCACCTCTGGAATGGCCAGCTCAACGTCACTTATGTCGGGGGCAGCTGTAGTGACCCGAGTGTTCTGCCCGCGAAAATAGGCTCCCGAGCTCCGTTTTTGGCTGCCATGGTCTCCTGCAAACCTCTGCCAGCAAAACAGAGCTTGGGGGACCTGCGTGAAGCCCTCTTGAGCTCTGTTTTCACTGGCAGAAGCACCACAGGCCGGTCACTGTTTCCAGGGTGGCCCTATGGGGCTGCATCCGGCCCCCAGGCCTTGAGTTTGACACCTCTGGTCTAAAGCATGCAATCAGAGACTCATCAAGGATACTACATTTTGCCCGATCTTTGTGCTTCACGGAGAGTGGCAACCCGCAACAGGAAGTCTACTAAAGTTGTCTCCCTGAGAGCTACTTCTCTCGTTCCTCATTCTCTCTGAGAACCCATTCCTCCTTTTTGTTCTCTGCCCCAAAGACAGTCTCTCTTCCCCAACAGTTGAATTAACTTCTGGTCAAGACTGGGGCCAAGGGGCTTAGATGTCTCAGGAGCTGTTAGGTTGCCCATCCTTAGTTCAAGTCTAGGCCATGTTCTTGTAAAACCCAAGGATTCCTGATGGCCTTTCCTCCCTCCCCCCTCCTTCCCAGGTGTGGTTCCAGAACCGCCGCACCAAGTGGAGGAAGAAAAGTGCCCTGGAGCCTTCTTCCTCTTCCCCACAAGCAGGCACTGGACCAGGCGAGCGCACTGTCTCTGATGAGGATGACGAATACAACAAGCCCTTGGATCCAGACTCCGATGACGAGAAGATCCGTCTCCTGTTGCGCAAGCACCGGTCCACCTTCTGCGTCCTGGGTCTAGGCTCCCACAGTGGCTGAGAAGGGCTGGGCTTGATGGGGGCCTGCAGCTTCCAGGGGCAGAAGCTAGATTCAGCAGGCTGGACTTGGGGGGGGGGGGTCTCGATGGTGAGTGTGGGGAGGAGGCCTCTCTCAAAAGTAGGACACACAGGCTCCAGTTCTGGATTTGGTGCAGATGAGTAGCTGCTATGGCTGCACACAAGTCTGGGGCAGGACAGCTGAAGAAAAAGCCAGCTAGTATCCAGCTTGCCTCTTGGACCTGGCGCTTGCCTGTAGCCTTCTGTTTGGGAAAGAGATGTGCTTTCATTTGTCACTGCATTAATAATAATAATAATAATAATAATAATAATAATAATAATAATAATAATAATAATAATAATACAAATCGTAATAGGGGCCTTGGGTGCAGTGTCAAAACAACTGGAGCTCCACTTGAACACCATGGGCATTGACAAATTCTCCATCCGTCAACTGCAGAAGGTGGCATTACGTGGAACAGTTTCCATCCTGCGATGATATCGGTAACACCATCAAATATCCAGATCTGCCTATCCCAGGTCCTGGGTAAGGACACGATAGGAAGATGAAAATACCAAACCCAGTCTGAACATCTGGCTGACTGTGCAATGAATAATAATCATAATAATACCAATAGATGAAATGTTTCAAAATGCAGAGCCCTCTTTGTGGGCACACTCACCGCCAGCTGGTCTTCACGGGTGCCAGAACTCCGGTAAAAGAACCAAAAAAGCCCCCCCCTCCCCAAATGACTGCAAAATGACTCCCAAGATTCACAGGGTTCACACGATGTGGACGTTACAGGTGTCGGCTCAAAGTTTCCTTTCGTAGCTTCTTTCTGATTCAAACTGAACTATGTTGGAAATTTTGCAGGGATTTTGGGGGGGGATTTTTTGTGGGGAGGGAAGTTGGAAGAAAAGGGGGTGCTTCTAGTGGAGTTATAATTTTATAATGCAACCACTATGTTTCATCCAACTATTTTTACAAGAGGTGCTAGATTGGTGTTTTCCAACCTTGGTCCCTTAAAAAGTGTGCCAGCGAGTTAAAGTCCACATCTTTTCAAGGGACCAAGGCACCTACCTTCCCTACTGATTCACAAATGTGAGTGCATACGCAACCACCTTTCGCAAAAAAAGGGGCTACCGTATTTTTTGGAGTATAAGACGCACCTTTTTCCCTCCAAAAAGAGGGTAAAAATCTGGGTATGTCTTATACACTGAATACAGCATTTTTTTTCCTCCTGAAACCACACCCTCTTTACCAAAATGGCCATGCAGAGCCTTATGGAGGCTTCCAGCGCTCCTGGGGGCTGAGGAGGGCAGAAATGAGCTCATTTTTGCCCCCCCTCCGAAGCACTCTATAAGTCTCCTAAAGGCTATGCATGCCCTTTTTTTGATGAAGAACGGGCCCGTTTTCATGAAAAACGGGCCATTTTTGTGAGGTCTATAGAGTGCAAAAACTTTTTTTTTAATTTGCCTCTTCAAAANCCTTCCTTCCTTCCTTCCTTCCTTCTTTCCTTCTTCCCTCCCTCCCTCCGAATCTCTCTCTAGGATTGAAATCTGACAGCAAATGCAAACTTTTTCACCCTTTTGTTTGATTAAAGGTTTTGCTGGGTTTGTGCCCGATGCTAACATAGATGGGAAGAGCTGGAAGGGATGTTGGAGGTCTTCTCCTCCGAAATGAAACAAATCCCCAGCATGCAAGAAAGCCAGATGTAACGTAATCATCTCAAATTTCCCTTTAGATGTTGTTGAAAGAGCCCCAAAGTTATTTGCCTGTCCTTCAAGAGAAGTTCTTGAGGGTTTCGGAAGTGAGGCAGTTTCTGACTGTAATGGTGGCCAGGGATAAAGTCTTCCCAACTTCCCCACTTCCCAGTTACTTTATCAGAGTGGTCTTCTCACTCACCTTGGAGCCCCCCCTCATGCCGATGGAATATGTTTTTGACATTTTCTAAGCTATTTTGACGTTGCTGACAATTTTTAATGTACTAACTGCCTGGTCCAGTGAACTGATTAATTGGCGCAGGAGAGATCAATACAAAACAGAAAATTAAAACAATTTTAAAGTGATTAAGTAGTTTAACACCTGTCTGCCAGGCCGTCAGCACAGGAAGAAAAATACAGCAGGTGGCAAAAGGCCTCACGCAGCTAGAGAGAATGACAAATGGACCTGTGAAGGGCCCTCTTCTGCTCGCCCATTTTCACGCCACGGGAAAAAGCTAGCCAGAATCCTCAAAGGCACAAACAAACCCATCCTGGTTCCTTATCCCAGGAGGCCCTGCCTATCTTGAGGCTGTTTTGTATCCTTCAATGTGGGAAGGAAAGACGGAGCGGATCCCACAGACTGGGTTCAGCCCCAAAGTGGGTTCTTAGGAAAGAAAGACCCCCGACTCCATTTGTGGGAAAGATATACTTTTACTAAAAGCCAAGGGGTTACTGTATATCAAAGCCAGAGGTTCGCATGTGAAGATTTCTCAGTTAACTTCCTTTTTCATTCCTCTACCCCGTTATCTCCTTATTATCCAATTACAGTACATTTGAAGGAATTGTTTTGGTAATATTCCCTGTGCTGTCTAAATCTTGTTTTGTATTTCACCTTTCCTTTAAAATGTTTCTTCTTCTTCTTCTTCTTCTTCTTCTTCTTCTTCTTCTTCTTCTTCTTCTTCTTCTTCTTCTTCTTCTNATTCCAAGTGTGGCCTTACCAAGGCATTATAAAATGGTATTAACACTTCACGTGATCTTGATTCTATCCCTCTGTTTACGCAGCCTAGGTTTGCATTGGCGTTTTTGGCAGCTGCCGTAATAATCTTGTTTCCCCTAGAAACTCTAAATCCTTGTAGGAAGTTAAAACCCACCCCTCTCCTAGAAGAATGAAATATCCTGGGAAATATTGAAAAGGCATAATATTATATTTCCCTGGATCAGAAATGGAGAAACATGTTCTTAGGCAGGAAACAAACTCACTCTAATTGCCCCCACCTTTGTCAATGGGCCATTAAAAGGCCTGAGTCAGTCTATTCTACATAACAAAGATCCCTCCCCTTCAGCTCCAGGGTGATGATGGGATTAAGGCATGATAGTTTTAGCCCTTTACCTATCTCACCGCAGGGCACCTGGGAAGAAGCAATGCTCAATCAAACTTGGGCTCAAAGCACAGTCTACAGAGTTACCCTGGGAGTCTGACAACCAATCAGAATACAAGATCAAAATCTAAGGCCAGAGAGGGCATAAAACTAGGGACTTTCAGTATCTCTGCCTCTTTTTCTTCTTCGCCCAACATCTGGAAGCATCCGATTCCCCCTTTTCTGTTCAAGAGTTCAAGCCATGTAATCCTGACCACCATTAAACCATCTTTCCAAGCAGCCTCCGTGTTTCCAGTGTCTTTTCCTCCACTTGGAACTGAACCCAGAAGGAACATTTCTGCCAACATGATGTACAGCCATTGGTGGGAGATTTTCCCTGTAATGTACCCCACCTTTTCCAAGACCTTAGTTTCTGGTGGGAGTTACCTTTGAGGGAATTAGAAGTGAGATACTTCATCATGGCCCCTCTCTGCCCTCCCAGGGCAGGACCAACCACGACTCCATTGCAGGTGCCAGCTGGCTGGAAGCAAACACAGCTGCAATATCTGGGAAGCTGGAAAAATCAATGGCTGATAAGGTCCATCAAGCAGCAATTAATAAACTTGCCAAGAGCAACAATGGAAGGAGAAGAAGGGTTCGCTTCTTCCAATCTAGAAGGTTCGTTTCATCTAAGTCCACGACATCCTTCTGGGATCTCAGAGAGGAGGAGATTAGAAATAAACTTAAAAATGATGGCTTGTAGGCCTGTGCATAACTGATGGAGTCCGCCATCTTGGTTTTATTGACGGTGGATTCCCTCCGTGATCAAGATGGTCTTTTGAAAATGGGGGAGCTTCTCTCATGCAGAAGGGCAAATATGGCTTGCGTTTTGGGATGGTACACAGTAGGACGTGGTCCTTAGGGGCCATGTCTTTTTTTGAATCCAGTTCTGAAATACTCTCTCGCTTTTAGAATCGTAAAATTACAGGGCTGGAAGGGACCATTTAGAATTCAGAATAACAGGATTGGAAGGGTCCTTGGAGGTCTTCTAGTCCAATCTCCTGAGGCTTAGGCAAGAAACCAGATACCATTTCAGACAAATGGTCATCCAATATCTTCTTAAATACTTCCCTTGTTCCTCCCTCCCTCCCTCCTCTCTTCTCCCCTCCTCCTCCCTCTCTTCCTTCTTTCCTTCTCTCCCTCCCTCCTTCCTTCCCCCTTCTTTCCTTCCTTCTTTTCTTCCCGCCCTCCTTCTTTCCTTCCTCCTTTCTTCCTTCTTTCCCTCTTTCCCTCCTACCTGCCTGTCTGCCCTCCTTCCCTCTTTACTTCCTTCCTTCCCTCCTTNCAGAAATGAGCTCATTTTTGCCCCCCCTCCGAAGCACTCTATAAGTCTCCTAAAGGCTATGCATGCCCTTTTTTTGATGAAGAACGGGCCCGTTTTCATGAAAAACGGGCCATTTTTGTGAGGTCTATAGAGTGCAAAAACTTTTTTTTTAATTTGCCTCTTCAAAATCTTGATGCATCTTATACTCCAGTGCGTCTTATACTCTGAAAAATATAGTAAATGGGATGCCGTAGAGCCAGGGTGGGTGGAAAGTGATTTCTGCTACCGGTTCGAGTGAACCGATCCGAACCGATAGAATACCACCTCTGGACTAAGGTTGGGAAACACAGGTTTGGATAATTCTATCCTCCACTTGCAAGAACCTTTTCCTGCTTCTTCTTCCCACCGTGTTTCTTTCCGTAGATCATAGATAGAATATCAATTAATTTAAGGTCAAGCAACTGACAAATAACTTCAGTTATGAGCCTCTGAAGGGCTCATCCTCACTGCTAAATCATGTTGTTTTACCCACCTTCGAGGAAGAGAGTTGGAGGGGAGGAGAGGGATTCAAAACAGTCCACATGTGGTCATGTGTGGAGCCCATGCCATTTTAGATGT